GAATATCGCCTCGGATTCACTTCTCCGCACGTCCTACCTTCCAGAAAGTGGTCGCTTTTCTGTTCAGAGAGTTGTTGCTATTCTTTTCTTTGATCTCCTGTTGAGTTTGTAGGTGCTCAAAATGGTTTGATAACTATCTAGCTGAATTCCTGGGACCAGAGGAGATTTAGGTCTCCTACTCCCCCCCGCCCCCGCCCCCCAATGCCTTTTGTAACCTGGCTGGGTTTGCTTGCGGTTTTGACAGGCTGCTGCCTCAGTTGCTCTTATCTCTTATTGTTATTTTTTTAAAAAAGGGTCAGGCCGGTTGCCCACATGATAAGGCTGGAGTCGGGGTGGGACCAGTAAGTTGTTCTTGCTATCTAGGAATGATTCCATTTTATTCCAGCTTCCTGTTTCCTGTGATGCCAGATTTGAACATTCTTCCTGAACTTATTTTAGAAGCCTTCTCCTTAGCTTTAGTGAGCTCCTCTCTGCTCATATTTCTGGGCAAGAAGATTGCCAATTACCATAACTACCATGTGAATTCCAACCAGGTGAGATGACAAGCCTTTCTCTTATTTCCTCTGACCCTTACATCTTTGTTCTCTGATCTGAGCCTCCTGCTAACATGAAGACTGCATTCTTTGTAACCAGAGAGTCAGTGGGACCATAATTTGAATTATAATTACCAAAGGATTTTTGAGGAGTGTGGCATACTTAACTTTGAAGTCACTTAAATTAACATGAGTGTTATTCCCCCAGAACAACTATGGTGTAGGGAGGCAAGAAGTTAACATATGGGATCGTGTTGTTAAGCTAGCAGAATTCCTCTCTTCTTAATTTTATCTTTCTTTCCAAGTCCTTAGGAGTCAACCACATACTGAGGCACATTAAGGAATGCTAGGGAATATTAAGACCAGGCTACTAACATAATTACATTGCCCTCCCAGAAACAGTCCTTCTTTGTTTGTTTGTTTAATCTCCCCACTATTCTAAGTTTGGCCCTTTTCCTAGAACTCCAAAGAGAAATGTGGAAGCAAGAGGTGTCCCACTTTGATTTTGAGACAGTATATAAGGGAGGGGGGGAAAATAGTACTATGTTTCCCTCTGCCATTCTAAGTCCCCATAATCATGTGAAAGGGAATAATAAGACAAAAAGTTCATTTCCCACTTTAAAAAAGTACTTTTCTCATGATGGCTGCTAAAATGAAGTTAATCCAGGAATCAGATTCGCCATCCTTTGTTCTAAGAATATTTCAGTGTTGTCTGAAGTGATGGAAACAATCTTATCATCATACATAAGAAATAGACAGTATACCTTGAGTTCAAACTCAAATCTGCATTCTTCAACAAACAGTGGACCAAATGTGTTTGCCATTTCTTTACAGGATTTAATAGCCATCGGCCTTTGCAATGTCATCAGCTCATTTTTCAGATCTTGTGTGTTTACTGGTGCTATTATCAGGACTATTATCCAAGATAAGTCTGGAGGAAGACAACAGGTAGGTTGGAATAGAATTTTATCTCTAACATAAAACATATTTATATCTATTCATATGTATAGTCATAGAAGGATATTTTATTTAATCATGTTGCTGCTTTATTTTTTTAAAAGATTTTATTTATTTATTTGACAGATTGAGAGAGCACAAGTAGGCAGAGTGGCAGGCAGAGGGAGAGGGAGAAGCAGGCTCTCCACTGAGCAGGGAGCCGGATGTGGGGCTTGATCCCAGGACCCCAGGATCATGACCTGAGCCAAAGGCAGCCACTTAGCCGACTGAGCCACCCAGGCTTTATTTTTTTAAGATTACATTTATTTATTTGAAAGAGAGAGAATGAGAGAAAGCATGATCAGGGGGAGGAGCAGACAGAGGGGGAGAAGCAGACTCCTCACTAAGCAGAGAGCCCAAGGGGGAGCTCAATCCCAGGACCCTGAGATCAAGATCATAGACGCTTAACTGACTGAGTCACCCAGGTGCCCCATGTTACTGCTTTAATGTTATGTTTGTTGGAAAGATCTCTTGGAGGAACTTGGATTTCATGCTTGCCTAAATTTTTGCTTAGACTTTTGTCTTAAGCTATTTGTCAGTGTAAGACTTGAAAGTCATTTTCTGTAGAAATAGTATTCTATGTGAGAGGTTTCTATGTATTAGCCCATAAAAACCCATTTTCCATGTAACATCCCCCAAAGAAAAATATTTCAGGTAAACTAACCATCACCTCTTAACATTGTTTTCTTTGGAAGGATATATACCCAGTTCTCATCTGGGAAAGCAAGTAATACAACTCTCACCATCCTAGCTGCAGAACTAGAAACTTTCCTAGCTTCCTCAAGGGGCATGGCAAGAGGCTTTCATGATAGAGAGTAAGGCCTTTGTCTAGATGAGCCTAGAGAATTTATGACCGGTCTGCCTCGGAATATGAGCAAATCATCTAGGTCAGATTCTCTTCAGGTATGCTGAATTAGTAAACTAAATGTGTGGGTCAGAGGGGAGAGGGAAGGGGAGGATGATGGTAGAGAGGGCTCTAAAGGCCAGCTCTTTGTCTAATTGCAGGCATGAGATTCTGTAAGTCCAATGTCCACGGGTTCTGAACTGACTAGATAGAAATTCCAGCTCTACCACATGGGAGGTGCCATGTGCAGCATGATGAAATGTCAGAGAACTATCAGCATCGAAACTGGAGTAAGCCCAAAGAATGGGTCAGGGTTCAGAGGGCAGAGAAACAGTGACAGAGGTCAACCACAAGCTTAGGCCTCAGACGCGGGGTAGAAACTAAAGTGTCAGACGAATGGACACTACACTTTAATGGGAGAAGATAAAGTGTCCCCATCCATGGGTAAATAGAGGTGAAATGTAAGGTGAAAGCCAATAAAAGTCAGCAGGGGCTAGAGCTTGGGTCTAGAGTAAGACCATGTCATGTCACTTTACGTGGACTCGGTTTTGTCACAGAGCTTTTGCCAGACACTCTGGCCCGTAAGGTGTAGCTCTTTTCCACCACCGTTGGACAGAAAGAAGGAAGGTGGGCTCTATGAAAAAGAAGGATGTTCTCTGCACATGTGTACAATCGTTCAAGTCAAAAGGAGGGGATTTCCTGATAAGAAGTGGAAATGGTCATCCCAGACGTTAGTCCCCACTAACTTTTAACAACATGTCTTGTTTATTCGGTAGGTAAGCGTAAGATACATGTGGGGAGAAATGATGCACACGGCTGGAATGAATCACAGGGCAAGTAACATTAAGTGCAGAATAAGTCTTATGAATAAAAAGTGGCCTAATAATAACACTAAGAAGGAGACGGATGGAGGAAGTGGATTTTCGTGGATTATTGAAAGAAGGTTAGGGTTGGGGCGCCTGGGTGGCTCAGTAAGTTAAGCGTCTGCCTTTGGCTCAGGTTATGAATCCAGGGTCCTGGGATTGAGCCCCAGGTCAGGCTCCCCGCTCAGCGGGGAGTCTGCTTGAGATTCTCTCCCTCTGCCCCTCCCCCCACTCGGTCTCTCTCTCTCTCCCTCTCTCTCTCAAATAAATAAATAAAATCTTAAAAAAAAAAAAAGGTGGGGTGCCTGGGT